TTAATATATAGTACTATATAATAAAGCAGTGTTTTTTTAAGCACCACACTATAGTATATATGCATATGTTTTTCTGAGTTACATAATGTCCTTTGGTCTATCAATAAGTGGTAGACTATAATACACAAACACACACACACACAATAATAAAATTAAAGGATAATTTGTAGGTCAAAATGAACAGACATACAGTACAGCAACATTTGTGAAAACTATGATTCATTTGCTAAAGTATGTATGTTTTGGGCTTTTAAGTTGTATTATTTTGTTATCTGAAGTGTGGTGGTGCGATAAAGAGAATTCATTATATGTTCATTATATATGTTAATCTAAAGGGTTCAAAGTGCTGCATAATCATCATTGTTTGAACAGTACATTCTGAATGACTGCCGTAAAACATTTTGATATATAATAATAGACTGTTTTGACTGATTATTAATTGATTAATTATGTAATCATATCAGGGCATGGCAATAAAAATGAACATATCTCAATGCAAACATCACTATGTTGATGTTGTGTTGAATAAGTATGTCGAGAGTTTTATTACTATATCAGAATCAGAATCAGAATGAGCTTTATTGCCAGGTATGTTTACACATACGAGGAATTTGTTTTCGTGACAGAAGCTTCCACAGTGTAACAGAATGACAGTGACAGAACAAAAAAACACAGATAATAAAAAATAAAAATAAATAAAAAATAAAAAATAGAACAAGTAAATAAGGAATAAAATATATACAATCGACAATTGTATGTACAGGTATATAACAATAGACAGTTGTATGTACAGGTATATTATGTTCAAATTGAAATGTAGACCGAGTATGTGTGTTAGATAAATAAGTGTATGAGTGAATAAATAGTGTTGTGTGATCCACAGTTATTGTCAAGTGTTCATGAGATGGATTGCCTGAGGGAAGAAACTGTTCCGGTGTCTGGCCGTTCTGGTGCTCAGAGCACTGTAGCGTCGACCAGATGGCAACAGTTCAAAGAGGGAGTGTGCTGGATGTGAGGGGTCCAGAGTGATTTTGCCAGCCCTTTTGCTCACTCTGGATAAGTACAGTTCTTGGAGAGAAGGGAGGGTTGTACCAATGATTCGCTCAGCAGTCCGGACTACCCTCTGTAGTCTTCTGAGGTCAGATTTGGCAGCTGAGCTGAACCAGACAGTTATTGAAGTGCAGAGGACAGATTCAATAATGGCGGAGTAGAACTGTTTCAGCACCTCCTGTGACAGGTTGAACTTCCTCAGCTGGCGAAGGAAATACAACCTCTGCTGGGCCTTTTTCACAATGGAGTCAATGTGAGTGTCCCACTTCAGGTCCTGAGAGATTGTGGTGCCCAGGAACCTGAATGACTCCACTGCAGTCACAGTGCTGTCCATGATGGTGAGTGGGGGGAGTGCAAGTACTGTTCAAAGGTTTTTGGTCAGAAAGTAAATAAATACACTTATTCAGCAAGGATGCATTTCATTGATTTTAATGCTGTATGACAGTAAAGACATTTATAATGCTACGAAATATTTCTATTTCAAATAAAAGCAGTTCTTTTGAATTTCCTACTTTCACTATTCCTCAAAGAATCCTGAAAGAAAAAGTATCACAGTTTCCACAAGAATATTAAGCAAAGTCTTCAACATTAATAACAATTAGAAATGTTTCCTGACCAGCAAATTAGCATATTAGAATGATTTCTGAAGGATCACGTGACACGCTGGCTGCCTTTGTCAGCCTGTGACTCGTTCTGCTTTTCTGGCAGTTTCATACAATGGTGCCCTCATGCACTATGATGTTACCAAGTCCCTCACAGTACGACTGCTGGAATTCAGGCCTGCATGGAAGCATCCTTACCTGGGACACATGGATAGCACAACCTTGAGACACAGCAAGCGCTCATAGCAAAGAGGACTCAAAGGAGGAGTCAAATATCAGGTGATTTTTTTTCTACCTGTCTTTTTTGGCTTTAGTATTTCAATATTTGGTGTACAGTGGGATCAGAAAGGCTGAGGTAACACTGAAAGTCTGGGAATCACATTTTAATTTAAAACTGAAAACTAAAACAATGTTATGATGCAAAATGATGAAGAGATATTTCATATTTCTCGCAATTTCTAGGTCAATCAAATTTGTAATGTTGATCATGTGACAGTCAGATGTTCTTGGTTCTGTTGAAGCTCAAGATGCTCTTTGGTTCATTTTCAAATGATGATCATCAGGTTTCACAAAAACGTCATGTTCATTTTCCAATTCAAATTCTCACTCAAATTGTTGATTATATATTGAAAAGCATTTTCAATACTGATCTATTAAAGCTCACTACATATAAGTAATACAATTATATATTTTTTACTCATTTACATGTATTTTTTATATAACACACTACTGTTCAAAGGTTTTTGGTCAGAAAGTAAATAAATACACTTATTCAGCAAGGATGCATTTCATTGATTTTAATGCTGTATGACAGTAAAGACATTTATAATGCTACGAAAGATTTCTAAGAAAATTCATCTTTCCCATCACAGGAATAAATTGTACTTTTAATTTTTTTCTAATTGAAAACTGTTATATTAAATTGTAATAATATGTCTCAATATTACTGCTTTTACTCTATTTTAATTAAATAAATGCAGCCATGGTGAGCATAAGAGACTTCTTTCGAAAAACGCAAAAAAAAAAATTTGAACCCAAACCTTTGAATGGTAGTGTATAATAAATGGCTGAATTCATGGCCATTGATAATGCTAAAATATTTAGTAATGTACTATGTACTTAGTATTTATTAGATGTGATAGCAAACTATATACGTATTTAAAATGTGACACGATTAACTAAACATTATTTACTATAGACTAATGATTGCATACATTTTAGGGTTTTAAAAATGATTATTATTATTCTTTTTTTACAGGTTTGTATATATTAGGCCTCATTGTAGGGCATGACATCCATGCCAACAAAATAACTTTATTTTAAATATTTATTTTGAACGATTTATGCATCTATCATTTATTGGCCCGATTCTAATACAGTCATGCTGTTCATGCAGGATGTCTCTCAGAATAGAGGGGGCCCAGTGTGGTGGTGTTGCTGTGGAGTTTGACAATAATAATGACAGAGATTCACCTGTGATCAAAGCCAGGAATATACCACGTATGTTTCTTCAAACTAACTCAATCAAACTATTTTGACTGCTTCGTGCATAGAGGGAAGTGGTTTAAGCTCACTACATATAAGTAATACAATTATATATTTTTTACTCATTTACATGTATTTTTTATATAACACACTACTGTTCAAAGGTTTTTGGTCAGAAAGTAAATAAATACATTTATTCAGCAAGGCTGCATTTCATTGATTTTAATGCTGTATGACAGTAAAGACATTTATAATGCTACGAAAGATTTCTATTTCAAATAAAAGCTGTTCTTTTGAATTTCCTACTTTCACTATTCCTCAAAGAATCCTGAATGAAAAAGTATCACAGTTTCCACAAGAATATTAAGCAAAGTTTTCAACATTAATAATAATTAGAAATGTTTCCTGACCAGCAAATCAGCATATTAGAATGAATTCTGAAGGATCACGTGACACTGAAGACTGGAGTAATGACTGCTGAAAATTCATCTTTCCCATCACAGGAATAAATTGTAATAATATGTCTCAATATTACTGCTTTTACTCTATTTTAAATAAATAAATGCAGCCATGGTGAGCATAAGAGACTTCTTTCGAAAAACGCTAAAAAAAATTTTGATCCCAAACCTTTGAATGGTAGTGTATAATAAATGAAAAACAAGCTAAATGGCTGAATTCATGGCCGTTGATAATGCTAAAATATTTAGTATTGTACTATGTACTTAGTATTTATTAGATGTGATAGCAAACTATACACGTATTTAAAATGTGACACGATTAACTAAACATTATTTACTATAGACTAATGATTGCATACATTTTAGGGTATTAAAAATGATTATTATTATTTTTTTTTTACAGGTTTGTATATATTAGGCCTCATTGTAGGGCATGACAACCATGCCAACAAAATAACTTAGTTTATTTTAAATATTTATTTTGAACGATTTATGCATCTATCATTTATTGGCCCGATTCTAATACAGTCATGCTGTTCATGCAGGATGTCTCTCAGAATAGAGGGGGCCCAGTGTGGTGGTGTTGCTGTGGAGTTTGACAATAATAATGACAGAGATTCACCTGTGATCAAAGCCAGGAATATACCACGTATGTTTCTTCAAACTAACTCAATCAAACTATTTTGACTGCTTCGTGCATAGAGGGAAGTGGTTTAATACTTCAAACTAGTCAATATCTGTTGTATTTCTACGTAATTAATTATGCCATAATTAGCCAACTTGCTTGACAGAATATGCAAGGAACAGTTTACACAAATTTGAAAACTGAGTCAATATTTAGTGAACATTCTAAGTCATTCCAAAGCGCTTGAATTTCTTTCGTGGAACACTAGAGGAACGTCATGCTTTTCCATGACACCCAAGTAATTCCAGAGTTATGTATTATTGTTTTGTGTTACAAACGGATTAAAATTTAAGTAATTATTGTGAATCAACCAAGCTTTTCAAGTTCTTGTCAGTTCATGAGAACAGTAGGAATGTCTGATTCACTAATGCATCATTAGAGTTTAGTTTTTCAGACTTCGTTCACAACTGGTTCACAAAATAGAATGATAGATCCGGATCTTGAGTTTACAGTTTATGAGACTAAACTAAAATCCTCAGTCCCCCTTCATCATAACTGCATGGAGCGACCAGCACAAACCTTCATAATTTTTACTTTAGTGCTCCATGGGGAAAACAAAACAAAACATGGGTTTAGAGAGTAAATTACATTTTTGGGTGAACAATCCTTTTCAATTTTAAGGTATGGCTTAGAGTGATTAAAATAGAGAAACATTCATCTGCTATTTTAGAAGATGCTTAGAATCTGCAAAGCCTGCTTGTTCTTGCTGTCTGAATTTAAACAGTCGATTATTCTAAAACAAATGCACATTCAAGAAATAAATCTTTCGAGACTCTTTATCTCATAGGGTCAGCCCTCATCTACCTCAAGGGCCCCGAGTTCCTCATCTATGTGAGCGGAGCGTTATCTATGTGGGTAAGGAGCCGCTTTCGTATCTGCCATGCTGGCACTCAGTAAGCAGGGCATGAGCTCTGGCACACAGGTTTTTTCATAATACTTTGAGTACCACACAAAAGATGTGAATTTTGGTATGTGAAGTATGATATCTTGAGCCGATCGTCTCTTTTCGCGTGCCAGGGTGATCGCATGTGGCATTTCGCCATCTCTGTCTTCCTGATTGAGCTGTATGGGCATAACCTGCTGTTAACTGGCATCTTTGGACTGGTGGTGGCCGGATCGGTGCTCTTATTAGGGGCTTTGATTGGAGACTGGGTTGACCGCAACCCAAGAAACAAAGGTGAAAGATGCATTATGTGGTGCATTTATGGTAAAAAAAAAAGATATGTCGTGTTTTTTTTTTTGCAATGTTATTATTATTATTTGCATTATATATCATTAATTTGCACCTCCCATATTCTCCTTACTGTAATTATTATTTAAAATATTGAATATTTCACCATTTTAATTATTATCATTTAAATAGTAAAAAAATGTTAGCTATTTATATATCATGGTATTGATTGTTGCGCTGTCTTTGATTTATGCAGATGTTTAATAAAAAAAAATATATTTTTTTTCTTAATATATTAAATCCTTAATGTCAAGATTAAAACATCCAATCTGATCACATTAACGAGAATTGTCATGAAAAAATTGACAAATTATAATAATAATAACAATGACAACAACTATAATAATAATAATAATAATAAAGGTCCTAAGGCTATAAAAAAAAATAAAAAAAAAATCTTTTGATTTTGAGGAGAAACGACAGAAGCATTTTTTTTTCAAGTGATAGTATTTTTTCGTTTATTTTAAGTATCATAATTCCCTCTCTATCCATCTCAACAGTGGCCCACGCATCCCTATTTATTCAGAATATCTCAGTGACTGTCTGCAGCATCGTGCTCATGTTGGTATTCTCATACAAAAAGCGGATTGAGGAAATCTGGGATGGGTGGCTAACTGTAAGTCCCTCTTACATTGTTTGTACCCTTAAAATGTGTTATTATTATGCTCATTCAGAATGCAATCATGTGTTCAGAGTAGCACTGTGTGTCTTCTGTCTCTGGCTAGTCATTGCTGAACATAAGCATTTCTGCTGTAATGGCAAAGCATAGATAGTAACTGGTTGCATCACACAACTCACACAAGGTGGTTTGTTATACGGTGGTGATCGTCCTGGCAAATGTGGCGAACCTCGCCAGCACAGCTCTCACCATTGCCATCCAGAGGGACTGGATAGTGGTGATCACAGGCTACAACCGTGGTCATCTCGCAGGTATGACCTTTATTTCCATTAGCATAATGCTAATATGCGCTAATCTGTGCTAATGCTAATTGAAAATCATATATAGGTGTTATCAGTCTAATGCATTAGATATATTGCTTGCAAATACACTGTAACTTCTTATCTCTGTTTCAAAACCAAGTAATTCATGGCCTTGGCTAATGCTTACACAGGCAGCTGCTTTCTAACCATCATGGAACCTCATAGGTGACCGATTTAGAAACTCTACATAGGCAGCAATTCCACATGGTGCACAAAAAAAACACAGAAGAAAAAAAAATTCCATTGATTTCAGTAGAGTTTGATGTTAGCATGTTGCTAAACTAACAGTGCAATACTCTAATAAGCCTACAACTGCAGTGCATACAAAAATATTCTTCAAAAACATTTAGAGTTTTGATTACCTCCTGATACAGGAATGAATGCTACAATGAGGCGGATCGATCAGGTGACCAACATCCTGGCTCCACTGGCAGTGGGTCAGGTAATGACCCTGTCCTCTAATGTGGTTGGCTGTGGCTTCATTTTAGGATGTAATCTGGTGTCCCTCATTGTAGAGTTCATCTTCCTCTCCAGAGTCTACCGGATCGTACCAGCACTGTCCATCAAACCACCAGCTATGGAACATCAAAGCTATTTAGAGAAGAAAAGAGAAAGAAAACGCTCACAAGGTAAAACCTACATTTTTGAAATAACCAGATGTATAATGTTTAGACCCATGTTTGATATATAATATATGTTTAAAGTTGCATTCAGTAGTTTGGTATATATTTTTAGTCGATATTGCAGATATCGCCTTATACTGACACCTGATGGTCTGGATATAGCACATTACAGAAGTTTTCAGTTAGCGATTCATTTGTAAAAATATTCCCTATTCAGAACTGAATTTTTTCTTTAAAAACCTAAAATTTGAAGGTTTATAGGCCTTATGGACAGAAAAACAACAAAACAATAGATAGAATTACAAATAGATAGATAGATAGATAGATAGATAGATAGATAGATAGAGGGCAAACTATAGAACAACAGAAAGATAGAAAGAAAAGACAAAGATAGAAAGAATAGATATAAAGAACAAACGATAGGACACAATAGACAGAACGATAGATAAAACAATAGAACAATAGATAGAATGATAGATAGAACGATAGATAGAATGATAGATTGATAGATAGATAGATAGATAGATAGATAGATAGATACAGTAGATGGAACAAAAGAAAGATAAATAGAATTATGAATGGATAGATGTACAAACAGAAAGACAAAAACAATATAACAATAGATAGAATGACAATCCAAATATCCAGTCCATCTTCGTTTGTTCAGGCAGGACCTCAGCATGTCCAGCTGCTGCCATCTCCGAGGAAAACACCAGCATGCATTTACAAGAAATAAGCCGAACACCAGTGTGCCTTCATCGGCTGCGTGGGCTCCTCAGCACCTGCCGGGAAGGATGGAGGGCGTATTACAGACAGCCTGTTTTCCTAGCCGGCCTGGGCCTGGCCTTCCTTTACACCACAGTGCTGGGCTTTGACTGCATCACCACCAGCTACGCCTACACCCAGGGCATTAGCGGCTCATTGCTCAGCATACTGATGGGCATGTCAGCTGTGGCAGGGCTTTTGGGTACTGTGCTTTTCACAAAGCTGCGGAAAACATGTGGCCTGGTCAATACTGGAGTCATTTCCAGCTGTCTGCACCTAGTTTGCCTGTTGCTTTGTTTGTGCTCCGTGTTTGCCCCCGGTAGCCCATTGGACCTCAGTGTGCTAAATATCAAGAATGCGTCAGATGTGGGTGGGATGACCGGAGGTCACCAGAGGCACGGATACCCACTGCGTGGAAGCATCAACCAGCCTTTGCTGCCAGACCGTTCCTCCATTCACTGGACCAATAACATTGTGCTGTTTGAGAACGTGCCAGCAGGGACAGAACCCGAATCTTACATCTCCATCATCCTGCTGTTCCTTGGAGTTATTACAGCTCGAGTTGGTGAGTAGATGCCTGCTTTGTCCTATTTTTTTTTTTATATATAATAATAATAAATACAAATTCATACACTACCGTTCAAATGTTTAGGGTCAGTAACAATTTTGAAAGAAGTTTCACTAATTTATCAAATTTATCACTGGATTTATTTGATCAAAAAGCAGTAAAAACAGGAATATACTGTAGTGAAATTATTATAATTTATTATTATTATTTTAAAAATGTAATTTATTCCTGTGATGCAAAGCTGAATTTTCAGCATCATTACTCCAGTCTTTAGTGTCACATGATCCTTCAGGAATCATTCTAATATGCTGATTTGCTGCTCAAGAAACATTTCTTATTATCAATGTTGGAAACAGATATGCTGCTTAATATTTTATGTGGAAACCATGATAAATTTTTTAGCATTCTTTGGTGAACAGAATACATATAATAGAAATAAAAATAGATTACAAATAGAGATCTTTGTAACATATCCTTACTGTTACATTTGATACATTTAATGTGCCCTTAGATAGTGTACATAAAATAATTTATTACATGTTGTGCATGTTTTTAATTTCTGTAATAAAAAATATTATATTTTTCATTAAAATAATTAATTCTTTAAAAAATATATTAAATAGTTTGATAGTCTTATTATTTCTTAGGAAAAATATTTCAACAAAACTGTTCCACTGCTTATTAATATTTTGGGGGAAAATGGTCTGCAAAACAGTCCCATTTATGGAAGTGTATATGTCTCAAAATTCTGACTTTTTTCCTCACAATTCTGAGAAATGTTATGAGAGTTGTGAGATACTCGCAAGATACTTTGAGAAAAAAGTCTTGTGCTAATCTTTTTGTAATTGTGAGATATAAACAAGCAATGCTGAGAAGAAAAGTCAAAATTGTGAAATATAAACTTCATAATATACCACAAATATAAAAAATCAGAATTGTGAGATAAAAAGTCGCAATTAGCTTTTACATTTTTTTATTCTGAGTTTATATCTTGCAATTCTGACTTTTTTTTTCCTTATGAAAAAGGAAATGTTATCATAGAGAGTCTCTTAAAGTATTAAATAGTTTGAACTTTTTATGGCAAGGAAAGATGATTTCTGGTTCTAAAATGTCATGTGGTCTGACTCAACGTCTTAATTTAGTAAGAATGGTATGCTAATTGATTATATTACACGTGATATCACCATGATGTGTTACCCAAAATATTATATAAGGTGTTGTTATTTTCCAGGTCTCTGGTCCTTTGACCTGACAGTGACTCAGCTCTTGCAGGAGACCATATGTGAATCAGAGCGTGGGGTGGTGAATGGAGTCCAGAGCTCCATGAACTACCTGATGGACTTGCTGCACTTCATCATGGTCATCTCTGCACCCCAGCCACAACACTTCGGCATCCTTGTCATCATCTCCATCCTGTTCATTTTCACGGGACACACCATGTACTTCCTGTATGCCAGAAAAGTCAAGAAGAAACCATGTACAAACACATAACCCTGATAGCACACGTATATCACGGAGACACGTCTGCACTTACATCTGCAAGACGTATTTTTTAGAGTGTTTGCTCATCTGCAATACGTCTATAGGACGTTTCCTATCAGATGTCAAACAGGCGTTTAGAAAATGTCTTTAAGTTGTTTATGATTTAGAATGTATGTAAAAAAATTGACATCTTAGAGACGTCTATCAGATGTTTGTACACAGCAAATGCTTTCCAGATTAAGCGATCTTTAACAGACATCTTGCAGACGTACGTGTGCTATCTGGGAAGCAACTCAAATTTCTCTTGTGAATGTGTCTCAATCCCTGCGCTGTGCCAGCACATAGAACCAAAATCCTACAGGATTTTTTTTGTAAGGGGTGTGTTAAGATTCACTTACACAAAATGCACTCTATCCAGCTCAGTATACTGAAAAAAGGTGTCACAATGATCTCTTTGGAAGAAACAAAGGGTTTGGCGCAGCGCAGTACTCAGGTGAACATAATCAGGAAAGAGCGCCTCCTGTGGCCAGTCAAAAGGAACACCATCATAATTAACTAGGAGAGCCAAGCTTTCCTGGAAGTTAATACGTGTCTTAAAACGCACAGTATTACAAGAACATAACTGAACATAGCTAAGTATACACCTTTTTGTAAATCTTTTTTTCACATTTGTCAGCTAAACCGAAACAGCATGCTGCCACCAGTTCTTAATAAAACGACAGTAAATGTCTTCTTTTTTCAAGATTACTTGGTAATCTTGAAAACTGGTACTTAGCACACAAACTACAAATCTCGTCCAACAGATAGAAGCTGATTTTTTACAGCATATAAGGGGAATAGCTCTTTTATTATTGGTGCTTTTGACGGACTGATTAATCTTTTAGTTTTATCCCTAACTTTTCAAGTGAAAAATTATTGAGTTTTAACAAGACTGTGAACTTTAATGTATCTGTTCCCTGTTTATATAAGTATCATGTCAAGGTCTTTTAATTGACTACTTTAACTGAGTGTTTCTTCAAAATGGATGAATCTTATACCTCAGCACTTAACTTGTATGTACTGAACTCTAGCTTGAACTTATTTGTGGATGGTAACTATGGTTAACATATGTATAGTACTCAGACTGCATTGCATCTGTTTCAATTGTGGCAATAATTTATATTATGGATTATGAAACACATTTTATTTCACAGATTATTTTTACTGCTGATATGTTATGTTAAATGTTGTCTGAGGACCCTTTAAGTGTCAGACAGTTCAATGACAACCAATAAAACCGCTTTTAGAAGGAATGCCTGTTGAAATGGTTTAACTGATAAGTGTTCAAGTGTACTAATGACAGTACACAGACACACACACACACACACACATTATAAATGATTTGTCAAACAATATAGCTAGGTAAACAGAAAAAAGGTAAATGTTAAAAATGGCAAAAAATAAGGAGCACCTAATATATCCTGATCTATCAATTTACTTAAAAATACATAAAATAGATTTTTATGAAACTGGTCTGTTTATGTTTTTGACAAAAACATGAATATAAAGAATACATTTCTAATAAATATATTTTAACATACATTTTAACATAAAACCTAGATGCTGGAGGAAAACAATTCTATGTTATTTGTCAAAAACCTAAAAGGTTTACAGATTTGTAATTCTGTCCTTTGTCCACTAGATGTTACTAAAGACTACAAACAAGAAGATACACATGATAATAAAATATTAAATGCCATTGATCAATATATATGAATTTATATATAAATGCCTCATTCATTCATTCATTCATTCATTCATTCATTCAACATCATTAAAAGTGGCAGTCTCATTACTCGGAGATTACTAAATTTGATTTGACCAATTCTCAATTATTCAAAACCTCCAAAGAGGAATGTCGGAAGAACAAATAATGTTGAAACTGTTAATGTGTCTTGTTTTACCAAAAATGCATATCCAGAGTGGGAGCGGCTTTGGAATAATGTTACACTGTGATGTCAGTATACAGTCATAAAAAAAAAAAAAAAAAAAAAACCTTGTAAACTAGTACTTACCTCTATAAACCAATACTTACCTTCAGCAGATTATAATATTATTGTCACTATGAACAAGGCCAGTTTAATTGATGCATATTATGTTCTTTATTGTTTATTTTGAATGAAGATCGAGGCAGGACCAGGGCATCTGAAGACAGGGTATCTTTGAGTGTTGGCTATAAAGATGGCAGTGACAGGACAGGACAGGGAAGGCTTTGGGCTCTGGATGGGTCCATGACAGGAACCTATAGGCAGTGACAGTGACCTATGGCAGTGTGGAGGGAGCTCTGTGACTGTGGTGGCCTCAGACAGGGATATCTGGAACTGGGATGGCCTCATGCCATTCTAGTTAAATACCTCAAGAGGCAGAGACAGGAACATCTGAGGCAGTCCTGACACTAACATTTGAGTGGAAGGAAACACTTGGACTAGAGCGGCCTGAGGCAACTAGAAATAGGGAGCTCTGGGACCGAGGAGACCATGGGCATGGCTTTGGCAAGGTCCATAAAAGGAACCTAGTGACAGGAACATTGCTGGATGGGGAGCTCGGAAAATTGGGCAGTCTAAAACTGAGCTCTAGAACTAAGCCAATAATGGACACTGATTTGACTAGGGTGATTACATAAACAAGGGCAGGTGTGAAAGGACAGCTCTGAGATCAGAGTAGCATGTTCAGGACCTTGGGGACCAAGCTGTCCATGACAGTGGCAACCCTTGCCATTCCATGAACATCTGAGATAGCTGTAACAGGAAATATTGATTGGCTCCAGGAAACCTTAGGGACAAAGACATAGGCACACCAAGACAAGGAGCCGGCTTTAGGTTCTGATGTTGACTGGGGCCATAACATTTCCCTCTATGGTAGCCATAGAAGGGAGCTAAGACATTTACTTTCACATAAATTTTAATGATGTCACTAAAGACTACAAATCTGACACACAGAATGACACAAACCCCTGGGTTCCAGGAAGCCCAAGATAGGGAGCTGTGGTACAGGGTCGCCAAAGACAGGAGACTTTGGAACTGGTGTGATCTCTGGCAATGGCTCTGGGCCAGGAATCTTTGGGGAAACTGTATTCCCTAGTACCAGGACTGCCTTGGGAACAGCTATGACTAGGGCCAAACAGATTGAACATCTTGGGACGTGGAAGTTGGAGACAGGTACTAGCTCTGACGAGGCTCAACCTCTGACACAACATTGACAGGAACATGTTGGGGGCTAGGACAGGGAGCTCTAGGGTGAAGTCGCCTTGCTTGATGATTTGACAAGAACCTTTGGGGACATGATAGGGATCTCTGGGGCCAGGGCCATGACTGCAGAGCCACTCCAAGGGTTTCTGTCCTTTTCTTTACATTGTTTTCGGGTTCTCCACGACTGTGACCTAAAACAAAATCAAAAGTAATCAGATTTTCAGAAGTAATTCAGACATTTTTTTCCTGAGCTAATGTCTATATAGCCTTATGGTTATAAGAAACCCAAAAATAGACCTTCAAACTCTTCACAAAACAAGTAAGGAGTAGTACCTCAAACCAGTCATGAAAAATAATCTCACTTAATCGAAGCCGCTACTCTGGCTCTTGCTGGAGACAAGAACTAATCAACTGGCAGCATTCTATGTCGAATGATGTAAGAAATGTCTGATTATTACTTTGAACTTCACACTTTCTATCTCTGATCATGTTATTCTAAAGCAGGGCTGCCCAAACTCGGTCCTGGAGGGCCGGTGTCCTGCCGAGTTTAGCTCCAACTTGCCTCAACACACCTGCCTTTAAGTTTCTAGTATGCCTAGTAAGAGCTTGATTAGCTGGTTCAGGTGTGTTTAATTGGGGTTGGAGCTAAACTCTTCAGGACACTGGCCCTCCAGGACCGAGTTTGGGCAGCCCTGTTCTAAAGCATCTTTATACAAATTGCTTTCTTAATTGTCATGAAAAGCTCACCTTCTGACAAGCCAGCTTTGGAGAAATTGTTTGCATTGATCTTGTTTAAGTCATCAGTGTTGGGATAATCTAAGACAAGAACTAATCAACTGGCAGCATTCTATGTCGAATGATGTAAGAAATGTCTGATTATTACTTTGAACTTCACACTTTCTATCTCTGATCATGTTATTCTAAAGCAGGGCTGCCCAAACTCGGTCCTGGAGGGCCGGTGTCCTGCCGAGTTTAGCTCCAACTTGCCTCAACACACCTGCCTTTAAGTTTCTAGTATGCCTAGTAAGAGCTTGATTAGCTGGTTCAGGTGTGTTTAATTGGGGTTGGAGCTAAACTCTTCAGGACACTGGCCCTCCAGGACCGAGTTTGGGCAGCCCTGTTCTAAAGCATCTTTATACAAATTGCTTTCTTAATTGTCATGAAAAGCTCACCTTCTGACAAGCCAGCTTTGGAGAAATTGTTTGCATTGATCTTGTTTAAGTCATCAGTGTTGGGATAATCTAGGGTGACCATACGTGCCATTTTCCCAGGACGCGTCCTGGCCAGGATTTGTTTTGGCTTTGTTTTCCTGTTTTCATGCTTGCTGAAGGTAATGATCGAAAAGTAGTTTGACCAATAACATGCAAGCATTGTACATAATGGACCAATCATGGCGTGTGAGAAGGTGGGATCTACGGTCAAAGCGATGCAATTACGCGTACATATTAGGTGTGTTCGACTTAAAAGCAGTGCGGCTCAGACCGATCAGTGTTTGACATCAAAGTACCTCGAGAGCGTTTCGAAAGCATAACCGTCTGTATGGTACTTTGATGTCATACACCGATCGGTCTGCACATGCAAACAAAGCCAAAACCTAGATATTGTAGGCAATATAGAAATCCTGGCCAGGACGCGTCCTGGGAAAATGGCACGTATGGTCACCCTAGATAATCCCCACACACCAATGCGAACAAGAGAACACCAAGAGACCAGACTGTTGCTGGCTTCCCATTGTACTCGCCCTTCTCCTTATACTCCGGGGGGCAGTACTGATCAGTGCCTGAAGGAAAGAGATACATCTGTAAGTTTGCAATACCACAGCATTTTTTCCAGGCATCCATTAGCATTTGGTGCTATATGATTCACAACAATGGTTCCAATGTTATGGCCTGAGGGATAATACACACCAGTGAATATCTTGTAGGCCGATTTCTTAAGGAGGTCGCCACACCCAAAGTCAATTAGCTTGACTTCATGGGTCTCCTTATTAATGAGCAGATTTTCAAGTTTAATATCGCTGTGTAGAACGCCACGACGGCAGCACATGTAGGCAGCCTGTGTTGCCTGCCGCATGATGACACGAGCTAAGGCTTCATCAATGCTGCCTCCATGGCGTTCTGCAAAAGCAAACAGGTCCTCGCAGGGGGAGGGACGCTCCATCACCATAATATAATGGTCATGCTGGTCCTGCCAGTCCTGCAGCTGGATTATTTCTGGAATGCAGGGGCCTCTGTTGGCGAGGACGAGCAGTGCAACCTCTAGTGGGAGGGGCTTGGAATGACCCGGCTTGAAGAAATAACATTTTTTTAACGGTTAGATGGATGTGGTTTCCCAAATTACGACTTAGACTGGTATTTCATAAAATTATGAAAATGGCAGCTTGTCTATTGAAAAATCAGCTATAGTAATATGAATGTTTTAAAGTGAATAGACAGAGGAGAAAAATAGAGAGCACAGCCTACTTACGATACTGATGTATTCTACATTCTCTGTCTTTGTGACATATTTCACTGCTACTTAAATGAAACAATAAACAGATTGTCTAAGATTCATAATATTATAATGCATTGGTCAAATTAATCCATTCCAGAAGATCAATCTGCTAGCTAGATATTGTAAGTAAAAAACAAAACCTTAAAGGTCCATATTGTACACTTTTCTGGAGTTTTATTTTAGGTTTTGATGTCCTTAAGAATATATATTTGCGGTATAAGTACCAAAAACCATCTCAATATATTTTTACAGCTCCTCTCTCAGGAGCTCTGCTGAGAACGGGTCGATTTTGGTCTGTCTAATTAATATTCATGAGCCTCTCTTCTGATTGGCCTGTTGTGTTCTGAGTGACGCACGGCCAGGCCAACCACAGCTAACTAGGGTCAGCCGACGTCACAGCACTAGCTGGAGGCAGCAAAACAAAGGGGAAACTGGAGGCGGCCCATTCAAACCAGCGCAGATTCGGCTACATAAGGAGCTTAAAATATCATCTTGTTGTGATGTTGGGTGCCAGAATCCACGTAATACAGCCTCAAATTAGAAATTTGATCGCATATCTGCTGCCACTGCCAGACAAAAAACCAACGACAGCTGTGGTTAAACGCGATAAAACGAGCAGACTGGACAGAAACGATCGTCAAAAATGCTCGCGTTTGCAGCACACACTTCTTATCAGAAAAGGTTCAATAAAGTATTGTCTTTTGTTGTTATGGGCGCGTCTACAGATTTCTTGCCATATGTCTATGTTTCTTGCATCTCACGACTATGTCGTGTATGAAATAATGTCTGTGCATGTGTATATAAAACAACAAACTGACAATTTATATATAATCATTTGTAATTGTATATACATTGTTGTGATTAATTGTGGCTGGAACAATAATGTAGCTGTAAAAATAGTTGCCTGCTGAAATTGAAATGTATATACATCTTCATCATGACTAGATAGACACGGTGAGTTTGTCTTTACTATACACGTTAGATGTGATCACCTCATAGTAACAATCCTGTCAGATCGTCCATCCTTTGAGTGAGAGTGTAACGTTACAGGTCGGCCGATCTGGTTTCGTGGTTAAAGTTAACCTTTTCCACATGTTTCCGTGTTGTCGTTGCTCAGCAATAGCATGGACGCGATGTTGTCTGGGGGTTTGGCAAAAGGAGAGTGGGACGGTGGGCGGTGCTCGGGGTGGTGACTGAAGGCGGTGACTGTGTAGTTCTGACGTCAACTTTTTACGGAAGTCACAACGGTTCGTGAAAAATAGCTAGAACTTTAAGCAGGCTGTGTGCATTTGACTGTGGACTGACTGTTTTGAAACTTATATGGTAGATAAATAGCCCCTAGACCTCAGTTATCGTGAAAAAAGACAGGAAATTTCAGTTTTGACAATATGGGACCTTTAAATACTGTAATTCTGTGTATACAGTATGTGCATGTATCGGGATCACGCGCTGGTGGAAGCGCCTTTATGTGCGCGATTCATATGTCAGTCAGCGGCAGCGCGAGAAGTGAGCAGAGAAAAAGGTACTTCTTGATATCAACAATTCAATTTTCACTAGTTAAAATATTAATTCTTGGTATCAGGAATTAGATTTCTACTAGTAACAATTGCTATTTTTGATATCAGCAATTACATTTCCACTAGTAACAATGTTAATTCTTGATACCAACAATGACATCATCACTCGCAGGAATTGAATTCTTGATATCAGCAATTAAATTTCTACTAGTAAAAAATATTATTCTTGATATCAATCATTTATTTTCTACTAGTAACAATTAGAATTTTTGATATCAACAATTCAGTTTTCACTAGTAAATATGTTCATTCTTGATATCAACAATTCAATTTTCACTAGTTAAAATGCTAATTATTGATATCAGGAATTAAATTTAAACTAGTAAAAACTATCATTCTTGTTATCTGTAATTGTATTTTCACTAGTTAAATGTCACCATAGGCTGCCATTCAATTCACATGAATGAGTCGTGTCCTAATAGGCATTCTTTTTATATAACATGTTGTCCAGTTCTTGAAGTATCGGTGGACAAGATGAATGATAAAGTCTGTTGAACCTCTTTCTCATGTCTGTCTCAGCCATTTCAATGTTAGGCTATGTTAAATATGGCACTGCACTGATACACTCTTCTGAAAGTTAAGACATGAATAACAGTCTCTCAATTGTAGTTGGTTCGGAGAATGGACAACGATTTAATTAGAATTGTGTAATCTTGCCCATGTGGTTCATTGCTTATTGTTATTATTATTATTATTAGGCTATTTTATATGATTATTATAATTATAATTATTATTATGCTATTTTATTAAGCTATATTGTTGTTGTTGTTGTTTTAAGTTTGTAACTATAAATGTGTTTACTTAAGACCTAACAACAATTGTATCATTAAATAATTAATAAATATTTTTTCTGTTTTGGAAATGTGCTTGTCTCTACTATCCCTTTCAACATTGAGTGTTGTTTTGGCAAAACAACACAAAATAAAACGGAATAGAGACTATATGTTATCTCAAAAGAGATAAATAAAATGGTGTCTTCATTTTAAATGTAGGGGCGGTTCTAGGGTTTCATCCTCAGGGGGGCTTAGCCCTCAGAGAGACCATTAGATACAAAGATACAAATTTCCTAAATAAACAGTATTTTACAGTGCTTATGAAAACTGTATTACGAAATAAACATAAAGTTACATAAGTTACTTAGTTAAGAGCAGAGTGCTTTTCTGTTTTTACCTTTGTTGTTTTATTAACAATATTAGTGTAATATAAGAAATGCATGGATCCGTTATATCTGACACATATTAATATTTTCTTAACTGTTAAGACGTAACCGACTGTGTTTACTTGGATACTCGTCAAGACAGTTAGCGATTGCGTGTGTAAATTAATTCTACCTGGCAGCGTCTCTCTACTAGTAGTGAAGCTGTGGAATTTAGTTATTAAGAAATATATGCTTGAACTTTTCAGTTTCTAAGCTATTTTATTGAGAAATCACAGAACAGTGTTGACAATACATTTCCGTGCTGAATGACTCTGTGCGCGTGATGTACGCGCTACTGTCTGAAGTCTAAGTGTGTGCATTACAGTGCAGCAGCGCATTAGATTAGAACGGCGATGAATGATATAGAAGGGTAGGGGGAGGCCGGGGGAGAGGTGAGCTCCCGTGCCACCGTTGGTAAAAAAAAATTAGCCAATCACCATCGAGTGTTCACTT